TTTCGAGAGTAAGAATCAACAATATATGTATATACGTAAACTCTTAAATGTAGCTTTGTATTGGTATGTAATCTGAATTTTTTGGAAAGCCTCCACACGCCTATAAATATAACCAACGCGACGCGCCAAAAGAGAGTATCTATTAATAGTTTGCTATAAGCTTTGGAAGCTATAACTGTGCTTGTTATAACGCTTATCAATCGGAAAACTTCAGAAATTTGACCGGGAACCTTTACAAATTTAGAAAATTACAAATCATTTAACTTCAATGGATTCTCATTGGACATTAGTATTTTTACGAAACCATTATATAAATTCATCATGGAAATCTCGGCGTGTGTGGCTGGTAAAGAACGAAGGACAAAGTTAGCAAGCTCCCTGTTAAGTGAATTATACCTACGTCAACTTGTAATCAACTCGATCATAGTGAACCCTCGATAAGACTAAAAAGAAGACTTTATATTGCTTGTAAGTTTGTAAAACTTTTGTTTATAAATCATTATTTGTAATAACTGTTATTTTAAATTGTATTGTTGTGTTTATATTAAAGTGTATTTGTGTTAAAAAGAAAACTGTGTGTATCAGTCTTGTTGGCAAATACCATAAACTGAATATATATCGGCTTTTACATAACTGCTAAATCCAAAGTATAATTTAACTACTAAATTTAAATTTATCAATTAACTCAATTTCATGCTATTTGAAATTATAATATGTAACTGGGGGATATACAGTAAAACTATGTTTTCCTTCATTTTCTTTAATTTTTACGCTCACAAGCCATGTATCTCACAGAAAATATTATCATTTGACATATACTGTTACATGAAAAGCGAAATTTTGGTTCTTTCTGTTTAAAAATACCCAAACATCGGCCCTCTATTCAGGTAATACCTGGACGATGACGGTATGGACGACTAGTAGATACATATATATCACAGTAGTCTTTAAACTTACGATTCAACACCTAAACGTCCCAGAAGTGAGTGAGTTGGGCCAGATCGAAAGGTCCAAGGTTAGAGCAGTGATGCTATTGAATACGTTCTGCACTTTCAGCTGAGGAGCGTTATAAAAGTGACAGCAAACTCCATTATTCATTCAAAACCAGGGAATAAAAACCTATTGCTGCTGACTGGCTGTTCTCCTTCTGATTAGTAGTTCAAAGTTAGTGTTATCTAAACAACAGAAAACATACTTAAAATATATAAAACCTACATACTCCCAGTGACAGAATATGTCTGCCCTGCATGGTTAAATGTAACCAAATCACACGTAAACAATCTCCAAAGAATATAAAATTCAATAATCACTACAGCATACAGAGCTCCTAGATACACAAATACAACATTCTTACATAATTACGCAAACATCCCCATGTTGTCAGACAGACTTCAAAATAGATCAGTAAGTTACTTTCGCAAAAATCTGAACAAAAATGAATCATTACGAACGCTGAAAAACTTTACCAAACATGATGATAATATACCTAATTACCTCTCACCACTATATATAGTAAACTCTTTATGTAGTCTATGGCCACCTACTACTTGGCAAACCAGTAGCTAGAATAGTGTTATTTTATTTTAAAAGGGTTTATTTATGTGAAAATAGGATTAGTGCTATATGATTTCCATTGATATTTATGGAAATGCCCATATGAACAAAACTTTATGTTGGCAGTGAACAAAAAAAGAGAATTTTATATCAGAAAACTCGAAAAACCGACGTTATACATTTATGGACATGGCGTGAAAAGGGTGCGAATGAACTATTGGTATGTGCATTCAGTGACTGCATGATGTAAGAACGGGTTTTCCTAGCTACCGGACCGTATTTTGTTGAAGAATTAATGTGGGCTTCATCCAACACTCAAGAACCAAAGCAATAGTCAAGGAGGGGGGGGGGGAGGAGATCCAGGTGTATCTGATCCTCTCAGGTCAACTGACCAAATGAAACAGGTAGTAGTTGAACCTCATGGGTATAAAACCTCCCAGTTTAGCCCATGTATCTCAACTTATTACAGTAAATATTGTCTTTAAATATAAAGCATAGGATGTAAATTTTATGATAACTTCATTCTTCCTATCATTCTAAAGCTAAAAATGAAAAAAATAGACAGTTTCTTTGTCTTTCTCAAAACTTACTTAGACTCAAAGAACTCAGAATTCCTTTGTTGTAAATATCTTGGTTAAATCTCTTATTATAGTGTGGATTTATTGCATTCACTCTACGGAAGAATACTTTTCACGTGAGAAGACCACAGATTAGGTAGGAAAGAGAAACATTTAATGACTTGACCACAGGATAAATTGTTGCAGAGTGTTTGTTTTCTGCTGGCGTGTCTATCCCTGCGGTATGTCTGCGGATTTACAATTCTAGAATCCGGGTTTTGATACCCGTAGTGGGCAGAGCACAGATAGCCCATTGTGTAGCTTTGTGCTTAGTTACAAACAAATAAACAAACTATCCCCAGTACTTCAGTTTTGGTCGTTAAGTTTTAAAAAACTTCTTTCTTAGAGGAATGACCCACGAGCAAGAAGAAGAATTGAGAATTGAACTTTTTCCGATGTTGAAAAAAGTTCATTACATCTTTCTTGCTGTGGCCGTAGACTTAGGAAAGAAAGCTGCCGATGTCTATTGCACTTAGAACTGATGATTGAATTCCTCCTCAGTGTAATGGAAACATGGATGGGCTGGTGGTCGTTGCAGTGCAAGATATCTAGCAAGTCCAATAATATGTGGCAGTCTGTATAGAACACCCAGGATTTTGCCAGCTAGAATAATACAACCCTAGCTCTGGCTGTATTGAAATGAGATTAACTGAGAAAGTTTAGAAGTGCCATTGGTTGGTAGTCTACTGGTAGGTGAAATAGCACGCATGAATTGGAGATGATGGGGAACCACTGGGCAATATGTGCTATCTCACAAGCGAGAAATATCCTGCAAGGGCGACCTCAAAGATGTGATGCATAGTAAATGGACGAGCTACTGGGAGTAATTCTTTGCTCTGCCACCCTGGAAAAGTTACCAACCACGTCCAACTCAGCTAAGTGTTGGCTAAGAGCCCATAGGTATAGAGGTTTAGGCGGGTCTTTGTAAGTGAGATGAGATGTGTCGTGCTTCTGATGTTCAAAGACACAGCAAAAAGCAGACTTGGACTGCTACTTGGAGCATTTGTGGCAAGTAACTGTATGGAATGGTTGGTCTCCAGAGCCTGATCCTAGTATTGGACAGTCCAACTAGTACTTGTCCCGTTATTTTTGACGGGCTATACGCCAGTTTATTAATAAAACATTAAAATCAGGTTAAAAAGGACAGTATATTTAACAAGTGTATGCACAACTTGGTAAGGTGTGTTAGTTGTTTTGTTAAAGTCGGAACTTCAAGTGTATTTGAATTTAAAACATTTATTGAAATACACAAGTATCTTCTTTGTACTGCAAAAAGAATTGATAAATAGAAAGGGGAATCTGGGATGAGTAGGCAAATTCATGCAACCTGTTTGTCTTATCTGACCATAGATCTTCAATATGACTAAAGACACATTTTACAAATGTATTACTGGTAGGACTGAATTTAAAAAAACGTTAATAATTCAGCTCATTGTGTTTCTTTGTGAAAAGAGGCCCATTATTTTACCTGGCCTAAGATCTTAATGTATAGTTGTGATTAAATCTTTAAGTATAGTAAACTCTTCATAGACTTTGTCTTCATCAGATGTAGCTTGTCCACCAATGCTTCTGTGTGAGTTCTTTGTAGATTATTTCCTTCATCTAGATGCAAACTGCCAACTTAGACAAAAATTATAATTAGTTCTAGTTATTAAAAAATGTTAAACAGTTCCCTTCACCAGAGTTCTTATGTTGTTAAAAATTTCATTGATTTTCCACTAGGTTGTATGATTAGACAACTATTCAAAACTCAAAATATATTCCTCATATTCTAATAGACTTAAAATAAGACCCAAAACTCGAACGCTTTCGAATAGTTGACTATTCTTCCTCAGGAAAACAAAGGGTGACCTTTAGCCTGCGCAATGTAATATATAGTACGACTAGTGACGTCATGTAAACCGGAAGTCCCAGTTGAGTTGAATCAGGTGACCAGTCAATCCCAACTCAAGCCGTTAGTCTCCCGGAAAGGGAATCCGTTTGTAGAGAGAAAAAAACAAATATTATTAATTTTCATTATGTATGAAACTTTTGACTGATAGAGAAAAATAAAATACATAGGAAGATGAGAGCTTGAGAAAATAATAATGTAAATCG